AATAAGCAAGTGAAAGGAATGGATTAGTAAATGAATGAACAAATAAATAAACAAACAAACAAGCAAATAAATAAACAATGAGACATATATACATATGCATATATATACATGCATATACATATATACATACATATACATATATATATACATACATATATACATATATACATATATACATATATATATATATATATATATATATATGTACATATATATACATATATATGTACATACATATATGTATATAACAATTACAGAACAATCCTGCATGGTCTACCCATCATAAAAACCATTTCATGAGTAAAAAAACCATGCAAATTGAAAAATAAGGAAACGAAACAGAAAAGCTAACAAGGAAAATACAAGAAGTCATGGGATTCCATCAAGATTTAGTAGAACTGCCTGAAAGTAAAATCAGAATCACGTCCTTACTTTATTTTCGATTTCCTCGACGATAGTTCTGTGTTCCATAATGGTATTACTCAAGGTTTCTTCATGGGAAGCATTCTGATCTCTCATTTTTTGTTCATATTCTTCTATTGTTTGTTGCAACGAATCAATTTGCTTGATATTTATTAATTTTTCGCCCTTTAAAAATTAAGAGTTTGCTTCAATTATTATTAAAAATATCATTATCTGGCAGCCAAACTCCAATATCACAAATTCATATTTACAAGACGAAAAACGTAAAACTATTACAGAAATCAAACAACTTCAAAATAAACTTCGACTAACATAAATTCCACAATACCATCATCTTTCCTTGACTCACCTTAACTGCATCCAATTCCTTTTGCACCTCTTCTAATTTTTCCTTTGTATGAACAAGATTTCGTTCCAATTCTAGTTTATCCTGTTTCAGTTCATTTACCTAGAATTAAGCTAAATTACATTTAGTTCCTTACAACATATTTTTTTTCAAAATTAAAACTTCAAAACTTTTAAAAACTGGAGAAAATCAAAACGAACCCGATCACGAAGTTGTGCAGATGTTTCCGCATGTATATGCTGCTGAGATTGTAAAACGTTCATTTGTACCATAAACTCATCGATATACGTCTGTCGTAGATCCAACTATAGTGTCCCACTTTTTAAGTTAATGGAAAAGAATTCAAATGAGATCCCTAGCAATTTTAATTTAAAACGGTTTAAAAATGTCATTTGTTAAATGAATTTCAAAAAGCTATAAATCTTTTTCCAGAAAAAGTAGAACTGACTTCTTTTTCGAGTTCATGTTTTTGGCGACGCAATTCCTCACATTCTTCTGTTTTTTCCGTCACAACCGCTAGAGCTTCACGCAATTCATTCATAATTGTACAATTATTTGAACCCTCTGCTGATGACGATCCATTTGCTGGTGCTGTCGCATCCCAATCTGACATCTATTCAGTACCGTTAACATTCAGGCGATTATTTTACACTATTCTCTAATACTTTTTGTTCCAAAAACTCATCTTTATTCACTTAGTCATCCAAATCATTTTAAACAAATTTAAAAATTCCACTTTATAAACGGTATCAAATTTACATTCACAACATCCACAACAGCCAAAAAAGAATTTCGCTAAACTAATAAGGTACTTTTGTTGGTTACAACTGCCAAAAAAAAAGTGCAAACGATGTAATCGGTAATCTCTATAATTTAACCATATTTCCTTAGCACTGCCCATGCATAATCAATAACTGACGTCAAATGAAACCATGAATCACAGGGACTTTATTTTCGGGATAAGAGATTTCATCAGTAGTGTACAGAGCAACTGAATTAAAATTAAAAAAAAATAAAAAATTAAAAAAAAAAGAATTAAGACTAAAAAAAAAATTTGTTATATCATAAACAAATACAGATACCTTTTCCCACCCGTTATTCGAGTCCACAGTACCTTCGCTACTTGTCGTAACTTTGCCTTCGTCACTTTTTAATTCAACAATTTCGGCAGATAAAGCAGTGTCAGACGAGCGTGACTGCCGAATCACTGTTTCCCGTTGGCATTCCTCCAGTCGACGTTTGGCATCATCACGCGCTTCGCTCAATTCCAACAACTGTTCGCGCCATTGTTTTTCCTGAAAATATTGTTCTCCTGAGCAAAATCCTCTATTTTTGAAATATTATGTAAGTGATGAGAGTGGAAGATCTAGAATGACAACAGCAGACAGTTTCATGCTCGTAATTTATCTGCAACACGTATTATTATAACACTAAGATATTTATAATAGAAACCTTCAATTCATGTTCGCTCTGAAGCTGGAAGAACTTCTCTCGAAGATTTTTTAATTCACTATCGCTATTTTCCAACATATCTCGGATTTCAGAGAACTTATCTAAACTAGCGCCCATGGCTTTGTTATCTTGGACTAATCGATCGTTTGATTCTCTGTAAAACTTTCAAAAAGTAATGCGAACAGCAGAGTAAGAAAAATGAATGTAACAAAATCAATTCATGAGAAAAAAATTATAAGGCAAATAAAATCACCTTAATCTGTTCAGCTCCGTATCAATAACACCAATAGCCGATCGAAAACGTTCAACGTCAGCACGCAACTTTTCACGATCATTTTTTGAGGCGTCCAGTTCCGTACGAAGTCTTTCAACCTCATCCTAAATTATTTTAGTAAGGAGTCAGCGAACCGATTATCGGTAACAGCATATGCATGGATAAATTACAATCTCCTAACGAAAGTTTTTAATGCAACTGAAAATCACTACTCAGAAAACAAAATAAAATTCGGACAAAACCAAAATATAACTTAGGACAAGAGTAATTAGATTTTCTTGTTAAATGAAAACTAACTGAAATCGAATGATGTCGATGAAAGCACATCTTCAACAAATTTGATAAAGCTATAAGTAAAATCAACAAACCACAGCATCCGAAGCATTTTTTGTCTTTGAATTTTCAAACGACAAACGTAGCCGTTCAAAATCGTTTGATAGCTTTTCGAGTTGCTGAACAGTCTCAGCATTTTCATTTTTGCACATCTCATAGCGTTCTTCATATTCAATGAGATTCGCTTTCAAAGCATCTATATAAATTTGGAATCTAGAGGAAATTCGAAAATTTCAGAGAAGCCGAGATACTAATGTAACAAATGTAACATTTCACCTGACTAATGTAACATTTTACCATACACAACATCATATATAAGATTTAAAATGTCTAAATCATACGAAATTGCCACCATAGGTACATACATCACAAATCCATCTAATCTGAGTAATGATCAGATCTGTTAAGTCCCAAGTTATTCACTGACTTAGCAATAATGTAGTCTAACTGGATTCAGTCTACAATACAAAGCGCGGGATCTTTCCTCATTGTTAATAAGTTTTGGGAAATGAGTCTATCGTGATCATTATCTGACCGTTAAAACTTACTAAATATGATCAGAGAAGAATTCACGAATTTGTAAAAATTTAGTTCATTACTACGGAATAGTTTCGCAGTGGATTAAAAAGAAGTTATGAAATAGGAATTATAAACAAACCGATACGAGCAGTCAAATCACGATTCGAGGTTACTACAGAACCGTGTTCTGCCTTATGATTTTCAAAGTCTTCATTCAGATCATTATAAGCCGCTGTAAGCTCCGCATTCTCTTGCCTGAAACGAACCCTTTTTCCACTTAAGAAAGAAAAATTTTGGTGTTCATCGCTCAAAAGTAGACTTCATTAACCAAAAAATGAAGAGATCTGCTTCTGGACAAAAAACTCTCAGAGAAATTAACCTGAGTTTTTCTAACTCTCGATCTAATATTGCTTGCTCCTTTGATTTGGTCTCCAAAACTTCAGCTCGTTTTTGCCATGTTGCAATTTGCTTGCTGAGTTTTTCAATGGTTTCGGTCATCTTCGATTTCTCATTGACTCTATCTTCCTCACGAGAATTCATTAGCAATTGTAAATTCGCTAATTCATTTTGTAGTTCTTCAATTTTCGCTCTGTAACAAATACAAATTAGAACACACTGCGCAGTTCAACGAAAACATGCTGACAATATTTACCTGCTTCGTTCTCTCTCCACAGTAGTTTCAGTTTCAAACTTTTCACGCTGCATATCAATGAGATGGTGCACTTCTCTCACTTCTGCTTGTAACTGGGAAATATGAGAACTGCAAAAAAGCTGAACCATTTTCATGAAATCGCAGAGTCAAGCCTTAAGCAAGAAAAAAAACTTCAACATTGACCCTCATTTGACTTTTAAATGCTCCATTTTTTCAGTAATAATTATATTGCTCTTTCTTCTAACAAAAACCTTTTTAAAGCCTGAGAATTATAGGGCATTGAAATATGAAATGAGGCTTTGCATTACATCATTCACAACAAACTGATTTTAACTGCTGCGCCCAACCAGCAATACTAACGTTTTTTCAGTAATTTTCGCCTCTGCTGTATCCAACTGCTTTTGTAAATCTTCACGTTGTTGTTCCAATTCATTTAACCGTTCACTAAGCACTTTATCCACAGCTTGAAATGTCAACTTATCTACTTGATCCTCTTGTATTTCATTTTCTTCTTGCATGGACTTGATCTGCAGCTTTTTCTCATCTATTTTTGGATTAATAAATAAAAACGATATAGTATTCCATCAAACCGTGAAACGTATGGAAATCCCACGAATCAGCTAGCGAATCAGTGTTAATATCGTAGAAATAAACAATGCAGAATGCGAGATTCAGGAACTTTAATAAAAATAAACTAGAAATGTTAAAGGGGTCTCACTTTTTCCAACAAAAGATCTCGTTCTTCTGTCAACAAATGTATTTGTTTTTTGTTGGTTTCATTCTCCAAAATATGCTGTTCAGTGCAGCATCCAGGATCTTCTGCTTTTTCATTGGCATTCTAGAACTTTATTGCAAATTCAGTATTTGTCTTATAAATAACAAATAAATTCAAGGTTCACGGTTTATTATATAAAGTTATCAGTGCTTAATTACATCCTTCGTGAAGAACTGATCACTGCTAATGTCAGAGTTATCGAAGATTTCAATTATTTAACTGGAAACGATAAATCTCAGCGTACTTGACAATTGCAGAAAATGGTTAGCACCTCGATTAACAAATTTCTTTACGAATGTCACACTAATAAATATAGCCAACTTTAAAATAATTAGTCATACAGCAATAAATTCAGAGCAGAGCAACTGGATCTAGCACTGCTGTACCGCAGTGACATCGAAATGGCCATAGCAACATCCAGCTGATACAATAATACCTTGTTATAAACCACTTACCTGAGTTAGGAAGAGGTTTTTTTGAGCATCACTAATCCTGCCCTCCTGATTCAGAAACTTCAGCTCAGCAACCGTTTCGTTATGAGCAATAATTAACGCCGCAACTTCACTTTCATATTTTGTTTTTTGTTCAGCCATAAGATGCTCCAATTCTGATATCTGTAGGAATATAAAATGATTTTTTTCTGAATTACTACATAAAACGTTAAGAAAAGAATATCAGGATCGAAAAACAAGTAGTAATGTAACGGGTAATAGTTAAAATAGTTAAAAAAAACGGTAATAGGTAATAGGTAACAGTAAAAAAGTAGTAGTTATCAGTAATAGTTAAAATCACAAGTCTAGAGCCCAAGAATTGTTCAGAAAATGAACAAGACAACCTTCAGAGCATCGCTCTTCTCCGACTGTTCGTTAACAAGACGTTTCCAGTGTGCGGCTTCCTTACGCAGCTGATCGACTTCATCTCTCATGCGTGCAATACGAGCACTGTTCGCTGGGAAAAATCCGTCATCATCTCCATCATTCAATGATTCTTGAACTGTATGATGTGTTCGTTCTAATTCTGCCTACAGCTCAATTTCTCATAAAAAGGAAAAAAAAATCTGTAAAATCAAAATTCAAATTATGCCACAAAATATAAATCCTAAAAACATTATAGCAAAAGCTCTGGTTATTTCTCAAGTAAAAACTCGATCAACATATGTTCGCCAAATCAATAAAACATAAACTTTTTTTTCAAATTTCACATCATAATAAAGTGCATTGCCTAAAAATTAAATTAAAAAAAAAAATTTCGGATGAAACTCCAGAAAGGAACGCAGGATATTAAATTTGATGATAAAGGAAGCAATGGAATATAACATTTTACGGCAATACTATACCTGCAATGCACGGATTTGAGTGTCACGACTTTCAATCATACCAGTATATTTCCCATTTATAGTATCTAATTCAAGATTCTTTGCATAAAGCTCTTCCTCGAGATTATCGATTTTCTTCTTTAGCCTCAACGCATTCTCTTTTTCGATATTGAGCTCTTTCTCTGTTTCCAAGAGCTTCTTTCTGACAACCTTAAAGCAGTTATGCATTATTTGAAACCTGGAACAAAATAACACGTCTGAAAAAAAAATATTTAAAAAACAACACTAGAAGACACTAATAAGTAGTAATAAAATAATAGTTTCCATATACGTAAACATATGGTTGGATATGGTTGGAAATATATCGCAAGCTTATAAGGAATGACAATGACAGCATGATAATGAAAAAGTAGCTTGAAATCTATCAATTCATCCAACAAGACAAGGTAATAATGATGGGAATGATGCCAAATAGTAATTAGTAACAATAAAATAAATGAGTGAATAATAAATATACAAGCAATATAACTAGTAATATAAAACAAACTAATTCCATGTTGAAAATCTTCAAAAAATTACTATAATCTGTGAAACTGGTAATTCATACATTCAGTTATTATACCTGTAGTTCACTTTCCGGATCGTTCACTTCTTCAGTAGCCTCATTTAGTACTTCGGATGCGAATTCCGATAACTGTCCCTGAATATTGCGGAGCCAAGAGCTCATCATCGATTCATCTCACTTGCTATAAACGAGATAAGCTTGAACTTAAACCTCGAAACGTGCCACTCACCAAGTACTTACTTATTCCTCCAACCACAAGCCACCATGACATAAACTACAAAGAATACCGTTAGACAAATTATCGTTTTAAGACCGGCTCTGTTTAATTAAACTCTAAATTGACGAAAGAATCCCTTTTTCTTTTCATCTGCTGGAAAATTTTTTCTCCCATTTAATCTTTTCTTTCTATCCATACAATCAGTTTGTGTTTTTTTCTAAAAACAACTGACAAATTCAAAATTTTTTACTTCGCAATAAGTTAGACTTGAAGTTGAGAAAGTTCAAAAAGTTGAACTTGAAGTTTTTTTTCAACCAAAAATGATGTTAATACTGTTGCAAGTTGGCAACCAATACTATTGCTTGCTTTTTACATTAATTTTTGTCCCTTTTTGATTTAATTTTATTCATGCTAATTAGCTCAAATAGCTTTCCAGTATTCCCAAAATATACCATATAATTGTTTGTAATAATTATTAGTATTTTTCCATTTCTAAATTGTCGGAAATTTTGCTCAGATATTACAAATTATCAGAATTTTTTTTCGGATTAAGAAAAATATCAATTAACTGTTTGGCAAAGAATAACAGTGTAATGCTTGATGCCTTCTTTAGGAAATCAAACGTGCTAAGCTTTATTGCACTTTTCAACAACTTATTATAAAGATTATTTGTGCCTGAAGTGACTAATCGGAAGTACAATTGAAACTAAGGAAATGGAACTTCCGTTTTATGGATTGAGCTAGCATTGATAACAATAAAATGAAAAGTAATTGCCACCCCATCAGCAGCAAAGATCTATCGATCAAACTATTTTTCAAAAACTAAACCAACAATTTTAACCATTGCCACCAATTTTTAAACAACAGGAAATGCTTCCTTTGAAAGTCTTTCTAAAAATTTTGTTATATAATTAATTGGTGGGGTTTTGGTTGTGATAAGATTTATTTCTCGAAATTTTTATTAATTCCTGTGATATATTTATGGAGAATAAAAAGTTGGAAGGCGATTAGAAATTTTTTGTCAACTTTTTTTTTGCATATAGTTGGGATAAATTTTTTTAAAAAAAAGAAATAAGAAAGCAATTGAAATGATGGAGTATATTTAATGTTTATAACGCTTCATTTTTCAGCTATTAATTTGTTATACAGCTGTAAATATGTTTACCGTATCAATGGCATCAATATTCGTTGTTTTTTGCTACTTGTTAATTTGCACCGTAAATTTGGGTTATGGTGATCGTATTCCTCCACGTTATGTGATAAATTTGGATTTGCCTCCAGAAAATCGTTGGGACAAAGTTATTGATGATTACAGGGAATTGATTCCGGCAGTTATTGAAGAAATCCAGTAATATTAAAAGTTTATGACATTTGAAAGACTTTACGAATGTTAAATATTGAAGTTCATTTAAATTAATAATCGCTTATCCTTCTTTCCTTTTGGTTATTTAAGTTGGTAATTAACAAAAAATGTAAAACTTTTTAAAAAACCTGTTTTTTTCTTTTTCTTTTTTTTACACAAACTATACAATTTCAGTCATTATGTGCCAAGGTTGCTACGTCCACTCGTATGGTGGATTGATAAAAATATTATACTTAAAGAGTTTCCAGAAGAATATGCTCGAGAAATTCGTGGTTTTCTTTTACTTTGTAGTAATCATAAGTAATTATATTAAAATATGAATTAGATTTTGTTGATAAAAATGATGGTATGTTATCCAAAACGGAAAATGAACAAACAACTTTTATAATTTAAAAATCGATAAAAGATACTTTTTGGGATTATATTTTAAATAATGTATCCTAAATTAGTGCAGAAGTTTTCATTAATGAACCGAAATTTATTTTAGCCTTTATTTGGTTAGGCCGGTTCACGTTTGGCTAAAGTAATAAATAATATTAATTCTTAATTTCAGCTAAACCGGGAAGAAACTTGGAAGTAACATTTTTTTCAGTATATTTTCAGGTATTGCTGCACGAAGTGGTCTTCACATTGGTGAAGTGGTAGGTATAAACATTTTCTACGACATTTCCGCCTTCAACCGTAAACAGTTCAGTGTTAAAATTCATCAATACTGCAATATTTCCCAGTTGCATTAAATCTTAATTTGGATGTTCCAAAAAAAAGAAAAAAGAAGAAAATTATTCCATCCGATTTTTCATTCTTTGAAATTGCTAAATTACTCTCAGATCTTTTATATTATGTGCATTTGATGCAACAAAATCAAATTGTTGAAGCAAAAAATTTCAAAATTTCACATATTTCAGCATATTGACAAACACCGGTTGCACGTCAATCGTTGCAGAAGATTATAAAGGTCGAATAATTCACGGTAGAAATTTGGACTATGAAATCTCAATTCTTCGAAACCTAACAATTATTGTCGACTTTACAAAAGGAGGAAATGTAAGGTTACATTTGTGCAAAACCTTTATTTTTGAAATCAATTCGAATACAAGATCAATACTTCCTACCAACTGCAGAAGGTTTCCATCTAAGAGCACTACACATGTACATCTAAAAATAATATCTGTTTCTGAACATTTTTGGATGCAAACAATGACGTCAAATAGACCCGATGTATAATTGTTTGGGAAAAAGTAAAAATATATTTAGATACTTTATACCGCCGTAACTTTCGCACTAAATGTCGGCATATATACCGGACAAAAACATGGGTCATTTTCGATCAGTATCAATGAACGCTGTTAGTCATTAATTAATTGAATCATTAACGTTAATATTCTTTTGTATTATCTCACTGTGTCGAATTTTTGCAGTTCTTGAATTCTACATATCTTGAAAAATTTTTTTAGATTCTGGCGCTTACATCGACACGATCTTAATGGAACTTTATACCCATTTCAAAAAACTAGTGACACTTACTATCCGGATGGTATAAAAAGTTTAAATATTTAAAAAGTGTTGGGGGATATTATAAAGCTAAAAAATTTAAATATTATTTTTTGATTTTTCGATTTCGATCGATTTAGAAATATCAATTTTCAACCCCAAATTTTGAATTTACATGCTGAAAACTGAAAGAAATTGATAAGATGCTATTGTCCAATCCTTGATCGAAATGTGACAAATGCTGACAAATCAATCAGTTGACCAATTTTTGCAATTCTCGCATATTATAGGCTCTTGAAGAGAAAAATACATTCGAAGAAGCAAGAGAAATGCTGATAAAAGAACATTTTATAGCTCCATCATACTTGATCATAGCAGGTACCAAATCAGGACAGGCCTGTATCATAACAAGGTTCATCATTTTACTTCATTATAAAAACATTTGATTCTACTTCAGGTCACATTTAATTTATGGTTTTTGTTTTAATTCACTCAATTTCATTTTTTAATTTTCTTTCAGAGATCGCTGGGAGTCTGTAGATTTAGAATGCACCGATCCACAGAATGATCGATGGTTTTTAGTGGAGACCAATTTTGATCATTGGGAAGTCGATAAAGACAAGCGTCGGTTTGTTCCAAAGAATAAATTGCACTCCAAACTTTAAGTATTAAATGTGGGAGAAATTGGGTGCTATTATAATTGCCAAATAAAGCTTTTAATTTTAGATAACAGTTGGAAAATTTTCTGGAAATAAGAGTGTTGATTTTGTCGTTAATTTTTTTAGAAGAACAGCGGAAAAAGCCCTTCAGCGGATTGGCAGATATGCTATAACATATAAGGAAATGCTCCGAATTCTTTCACTTCATCCGGTTAAAAATAAGTGAGTTTTTTGAAAACGAGAAAAAAAGATTTACTTGAAATAGTTCTTTTCGGTAAAGCAGGTTTTTAGAAAAAAAACAGTAGTTTGTTTGTTGTTTTCTTTCTTTAAAAGGAAAAGTAATGATTTTAGTTCAATAAATTATATAATCCCTTGCTAGGTAAGTTTTCCTTTTTCTTCGAACAAATATAAAATAAATTTTATTAGCAGAACAACAATCATGCAAGTATGTTATCTGCAAGTTAGTATGCTATTCTCTAAAATGATTTAATAATTCACATTAATTAAACTTCTACAGCGAAATCTGTTTTACTGTACCTCATGATCGTCCATGAAGAAAACTAAATATTTTCCATTTCTTGTAATGTACTGATTCTTCTTATTATATCTTAGAATTCAATTACGTTATTGTAACCAAAATGTCGTATTTTACAGCTACACGATTTTTTCCACAGTGATGTCACCGTTGAACCAATACGCTTTGTACGATTATACTGTTGTTTGGGAATAAAATGTCATTGATGAAACTTTCTACATTTGATGATATTTCTTTTGCAAGTTGATTGCTTATCATTTCATAATATCATCCATTGGTTTTTTGTATTTATCACTAGCGGTACTTTATGCTTGATATTGATCATTATGTTGACAGTAAGTTTTTTTTTAATGAATAAAATATTGAAATATGTATGAGCACTGTTGTGTTTATACTTGTCATCTCCTCATATTTCAGCAATACGATAACAGCATTGTGAATGAAGGTAAAAAATCTGAATATAATATGGATTATTTAGTGCAATATTAGCGTGTATGGTAATATAATTAATGATAAAAAATTTGCATACCATTTCGATGATCAATCCTTTTGTTTGGAAAGCGAAACCTTTCCTATTTAAATATAATAAAACTTGAATACTGAAAATCATAAATGTATAATTTAAGTTAATGAATCCAAAAAAAAAAAAGTCATTATCTTGTCAGTGAGAGGACATGAATTTGTGAATTGTAACTGAAAGCAAGAAAAGAAAATATTCATTTTGGAACAGTGTTTTAATCTCATTAACATAAATTTTATATCCATCGGTATTGTTGCAACGTTTGAGCTTTTCTAGTTTTCTAGTTAACTCATAATTGTTTTAGCGAAGGTTGCTAATGAAGTAGTAACAAAGGATAATTAATGAATCAAATGGATGAAAGGCAATTATTTGTAGATATTCATCACAATTAGCAGTCACTCTTCGATAATTAAATTATCAAACAATGATTGAAATATTTCTAACAGTTATGCAATTTTAATTTATTCATTAATATAATTGACTATTTGATGGTTTATTAGCTTGTAATAATTATTATCATGCATTATAGTGCGCTTTTGTTTATGGGTCAAACATTGTTCGAATTTTCTACTATTTAAAATCAGTTAAGAATCGATTAATTCATGACATAGCGAGAAGAGGAAAGTGAAAATCGTTCGAAATATTACAATAAATAGGAAACGAGAAGGAGAAAGAATATGCTAAATATAACAAAAGTAATAGATTTATATTATCTACATCAACAGAATATCGGCTAAGAGATAGTTGAGGGGTCGTTTTATTTCATTGACGTCATCAATGGTTTATGATTGGAGTGACCAATAGAACAGATGTAAGCAACAGCCGCATCAAAACATTTGTTTTGAGACCATCCTACT